GCAGCAGCAGCAGCCACAACAGCAACAAAATGTGCTCTATCAGCAGCAATACAAGCAACAAAGATATGCGAACAACTCGCAACAGTGGCAGGGATAAGCCTATAAGCTGATTAGTCATTGATCACTTAATAGTGGTATTAACAAAGTGTCGTTATCTTTGTTGATGTTTTGTATCAATTGAACAATCAAAATCAAAGATTCATCAACATCGATCAGTATTTTGAGACATTTGTAAACTACTGGCTGTCTAATTCACCTAGTCGCGCATATTTAGACACTCCATCATCCAACAATCCTAATTGGGCACGTTTCTGTACAGGTTCTCATAGTCGCGGTAGATAGGAGCTCCGTGCATTTCAAATCAGCGTCCACATTCCCTCGAGGCTAGAAGCTGCCTACAATTGGATAGGATCAGAACTGAACGAATTCTGCATCCTTCATCATTAGCAATCATCACCAAATTAGCAGTGGCTGTCTCGAAATTTTAAACTTTTGCTATGAGTTTGACTACTAATGAAACGATAACTTTAGCTTTTCTTTTCGTTGCATGTTGACTGATCGAAGACCATTACCATTCTAACTTCATTCTTGATTCTGATACATACAATTCACTGCCATGTGATGAATTATTTATTCGTATGATCATATATGTATATCGTGCATAATTCATATTCTCGTTGTGTTTGTATGTGCAGTTATTCTTCTTGCGAGGAGAGTAAGGCATGATTCGGTGCTGATTTGACTGTATCGACCGCTTGCTGCGATCGATACAGTCAAAATGACGAGGTTCTAGTGACTATTCTGATGATTATCATTATCAGTTTGTTTAGTGTTTTGTAGCTCTTTAAATCATGTAAATATTCACTCAAAAAATTCATCACCAAATCCAACAGAATGTTGTCTGTTTCTTCACAGTGTAAAATCACTGATTTCTGATTTGAATTGTGTTGTTTTTTGCTGAAATATTATCTCGTTTTTAGTGATATTCATTATGTTTGTGGTATAGGATAAGGTGTTCAGAATAGTGCAGTCTGATGTTGAATATTTTAATGCAGCAGTCTTATGTACATCATCTAATGATTTAAATTCTCATCTATCATTAGCGTAATTGTTCATATGCTCTGAGCATCACTTTGTTTATACTCATTCAGATAATTTCCATTTTGAACGTTTTGTTTTTATTCGATTCATCTCTTGTTTTCGATTGGTACTATACATACATATTTATAAGCATTCCTCATTGGTCTTTACGGAAGCGCTTTATTATTATTTTTATTCATTCTTCTTTTTTTTTTNTTTTTTCATTCTGATATTGTGTATAGTGTTATTCAATCAGAAAGACGACAATATGATTATTTCAGTCATTCACTGTGTTTTTATCAGATGAACTATGAACTATGTATTGTATATTCAACTATAGTGTATTAATTCAAGTGAGTGTATGATAATTTCTTATCCGCTGTCTATTCCTTCTCAGTTTTATACAGTTACAGTCTGTTCTTATTTTTATGAAATTAATCTCATTACTAATCAGTTATTCGAATGTGATATCGCACAATGAATATATAAACGATGATGCTTCTGTTAAGTAACTGTCATGCACACAGTTTGCTTTTAACACCGCATCTTTAACATCTACCGCGTACGTTGACATATTTTGACGCCTTCGAGACTTTTCGCCGATTCTTCCGCCATATAAATTCTTTTCCTCACATTTCGTTACACGCTGAACGATTTGCTGTATTGAAACTGTAGGTATGTGCTCAAAAATTGGTTTACGATTCGAAGTTTGAATTAAAAGTTGCGAAGTTTCAGTTGAATTGAAGTAGTACGAAAATGGATCATAAGTTGATTTTGATCTGAATAGAACTGCAGTGAAGTAGATCTGAACAGTTTTTT